TAAAACTGAACATGTTTTACAGGACAAACTAGGGAAGATAGAATCTGTACTCGGAAGCACTGGTCTTGCCTTAACCTTAAATTGCCTTGAAAGTATCAGCTGTATTAATATATAAAAGTAATATACTTGACAAGATGAGAATCATAGCTCATTATTAGTCATTAAGAACTTAATTTTATTTAAAAAATTTAGAAAAAATAGTATCTATATCTTATTAATTATGTTACACATAATTTGCAGGTTTCGGTGAGTTCCTGAAATTTTCAATTTAAAGTCGAAGGACTCTACTACTAAGTTCTTACCTAGCTCATACACTTGCCTGATATATTTAGAGTATATGAAATAATAGTGAAATCATGGAACGTGTACCATTGCACAAAGCATTAGAACCGTTGGCTTGGCTAGAGGGAACGTGGCGAACGGAGAGTCAAGGCAACGGCAAATACCCGACGATCAAAGATTTTAACTATTACGAGGAGATAAGCTTCACGTCCCTGGGGCAACCCATGTTCAATTATACCATGCAAAGCTTTTCCAACTCGGATTTAAAAAAGCCGATGCATCGGGAGACAGGCTTCTTGAGAGTAAACCCGGCAACTGGTGAAATAGCTCTTATCTCGGCACATAATTTTGGTTTGACGACCATTGAATGTGGCGAGGTAACTGACAAAGCCATCATCTTAAACAGTACTGATATAACCAGGATAAAATGGGCGAAGGATCCTCGTGTAACTCAGGTACGTCTAAATTTTATCAACTTAGTTGACATTTATGTAAACAACAGCTTAATTACACAATTAAAATAAATAATTTTAAATTTTATGACAGGTACGCAGGGAATTTAAACTCAATGACGATTGTTTGGAATATGTGCTTTACATGGCGACGTCGAATACTCCAGTGCTGACCGAACACTTACGGACAAAATACGTGAAAGTGAGCGAAGAAGTATAAAAGAATGTGAAGAGCAAATCAATATTAAATCATTTTAATTCTACTACACGTTTTTGAGTAATAACTATCATTGATTTTGAGTAATAACTATATTAATTACTATAATTTTGTAAGCACCATGCGCGAATAAAATTTTAGAACAGTGGAAAATGTGCATGTCGAATCGATTGCTCACTTGATAATTTACTACAATTGTATGAGCATCCGTGCACATTGCATGACGAATGTATTATATAGTAATTTCATCACAGATCATAGATTCCATGAAATTGTTGTCAAAAGTTATTCATTCGTTCGTTATATAATAGGTTTAAGTCTGTTTTTTCCGTTATAATAGCTTTAGGTCTGTTTTTTTCCGTGATTGCGTAATATTACGTTTTCTGCTATTGATACATGTATATATAATTAAGCATTGGAGAGAAAAAGAGAGAAGATGAAAACACTAAGAGATCTTTAATAATACATGGAGCGTACGTGTTTACATCGATGGCCGTTTCGAGATAAGTGTCGAGTGATTCGGTAACGTTATAGAGTGCGTTACGTTGATAGCATACAGTTTCGTGTAGTAAATAAGACTCGGAAACGGTGCAAAGGTATAAAATACTGGAAATTTCGCGCTACGATCTCAGTATAAAGTGTGGCCTGTAGTTGGACGTGTAAGATACGTAGACGTAATCAGGAGCCTTTAAACTATTGGACTGCTGACTACAACAGACTGCAAAGATGCAGATGATGACTATCTTGCCACTGCACGAGCTGTTGCACGTATTGGCCTGGTTGGAGGGCATATGGGTAACGGATGACGTCGCAGAGGCCTCGTACCCGACCATGCAGCCCTTTCACTACTATGACATGATAAACATCACATCCATCGGTCAGCCGTTGTTCAACTATGTCGCGCAGAGCTGGCATCCGTTAACGGGGATACCGCTGCATCGGGAGACCGGCTTCCTGCAGATCTTACCAGAAAGCAAAAAAGTCGCCATTAGTCTGATTGACAACTTAGGAATCTTCACTGTCGAGGAGGGTGATCTGATGAACGACGACAACGGTACCATCGATGTGAGAAGCACCAATGTACTGATGACGGACGCCTTTATGCCGTCTTTTTCTCCTGTAACAGAGGTACGATCGCGTTTCCTCCACAAATCTCGCACATTGATAATTATGTGTAATTGTATAATTACTCATTGACGTCAATTTTTTTCCCCACATAGACACGTCGAGTATACAAACGTGACGGCGACAACTTGGAGCTCATCTTCTACATGGCGACGTCGAAGACACCTGAGTTGACGGAACATTTGCGTGCAAAGTATAAAAAGGTGGCCTAAATAAGATATATGTGCAATATATTTGCAAAGGATATGTGTGTGTCCATGAGAAGACACGAAAGTAGGGAAGAATCTCTAAAATCTATGAATTATCATGATAATTTTTGTAATTATTTAAATAGGAAGTAAAAGCGATATTTTCGAGAAATATGAAACTGTACATGTATTCCTCGATGTAGCTAATAAATAGCAACATAGACTTAATTTATTAATGCAGCGCAGTGTATTCGTTCGCACACGTTGTTCGCCTTCTCTTATTTCGTTTTTATCAAAGTGAATCAACTAACAGCTAACTGGAAGGTTGGAGGGGTCGGGGAATACGATATCTAGGAGAAAATTTGCGACTGGCACGCGACGTGACCGCATAGAGAATGCATGCGCCAGAGATTGCATCCTTAAGCGTATCCTTTCACGCTCGATCGATGGAATTTAGTTATATTTCGTCGCTAACTACCGCAATGTGACTTTTATTGATTGCGATATACTTCGGCATTGCGATTGACGTCGGAATTACGTCGGAGTACCAAAAGTTTCAATCACGTTATATATATCTCCGTAAAATAGAATTAATGGTACAAAATCGATAAAATAGAAACTTTTTATATAGGTATAGTACTTTTCTACTTTTTATAGTATTTTATAAATAATTAATTTATAATATTTTATGATGCGATAACAATTGATAAATCCATTTTAGTCTAACTCCACGGACCTTCTTGCGTTAAGGAATAAAACTCTGATTTGTGACATTAATTTCTGCATTAAAATTTAACGAATTCGCATATTGTGAAGAATTTAACAAAAAAAGCAAGACAGCCTAAGTACACGAATGAAAGGGCTGAATGGAAGAAAATTGTTAATAAGGTTGCTAAAATTCCCTCATCCTGATGTAATCTAGAGGAAGAAAAATTTAACGAATTAATAACGTTAAAAGCGTTTGTTTTCTGTGAAACTAGGGTATTTAACTAACTGTAAAGATCGGTAACTTGATTTTGAAGAAAAAGAATAAGATCGTAATAAAGAAGATAATTAAACTTCTTATTTTTTCATATAGCGAATTTATAATGTATTGCTTTAATTATATTGTTGGTACGAGGATTCGAGTTTGACTTTAACGCGAAAAATCACGATTGATCGGAAATGATAATCGTGCGGGTAGAGTCCACACACATAATACACACGTGGTGGAGAATTGGAGAACGCGGGTCCGTATTTCGTAACATCGTGAAATTCAAGTTAAACGGCCGCTGCTTAGTCGCACGAATTCGCTCGGTATAAAGGGGGTGAAGGGAACGTAACACCTGCGTGTTTATCCGCTGAAACAGCCCCGACCTGCCAACGCGGGCTCGACGATTCGACCGCGACAGTTGCTCGCCGCGTCGGCATGACGAAGGATCGTTTCCTCGCCCTGGAAAAAGCCGGACTCAAATACCGAATATTTCGCGCACGTCGAGTGTTCGTTTCGTTATCGTCGGTACCGTTATCAAACGCGAATAATTCAGGGCAATTCGAGGATCCTCGTGACGCGACACTCGAGTTCTCTAATAATTTAATCTCCGTTCGACTCAAGCTTATCTCATCATTTTCGAATTCAAAAAAGTATGCGTTGCATTCAAATCATTATCATGTTGAATCTTTAATCTCCTTTCCCTTCTTGATCGCTTCTTATCCTTGCTTTTTTTGCTTGAGACATGTGTCTTCAGTTCTCTTTAAGCAACGTCCATTTTTACGATTATAATATTCCACGTTCTCCAATGACTTTCATTCATTTTTAATATTTCTTCCTTTCTAGGATCTTCCACTTTTTCATTTTTGTCAGAACCTTACAGACCTCGTGTTTCTTCCGTCTTTTCTTTCATTTTATAGAATCTACAGAATCTATATATATTTCTTACGGGGAGATTAACGTAATTTGATATTCACGGGGGTTGTTGAAAAATCGAAGAGAGTAAAAACGCATTTGCGCACGCATTATTCATTTCTTCTTTTTAATAAATTCTTCTTTTTAATTAAATAATTCTTCTTATCATTCTTTTCAATGTTCTTTATTAGAGATGCCTAGAAGTTGCTCGAATCACGATTATTGGCGCCGCAAGATTCTGCCGTTTTTCGAATCGCATCGTACGCGAGCCTCTGTCGCGCGAAGCGTTTGAATCGATTGTGCGTCGATCGCCTCGATGTGCACGATCGTCCTTCGACTTCGTGACCTCTGAAACTCTGAATAGCGCGCGCCGCGCAGCATGGCACCGCTTTACGACGGCCACGACTATTACAAGAGAATGTTCGAGCTTCAGGAGAAGCTGCGGAAGAGGCAAGTATATATAGTCGCTACCATCCTGGAATAGTCACGCGAACGCGCGACTATCGCGGGACCATGATTGTCGATCAAACCATGAACGTCGCGAATTTTCCAGTGAGGAGGAGAGGATACGATTGGAGGAGAGATTCAACGTGCTCATGCGAGATTCTCGTAACAGGTAAGTGCATCCGCCCGTTCGGGAATCCGAGAACTTGAACTCCCCGATTTTGCCACGTTGGCAGATTTAAATTTCGAGCAGATGAGAGTCCAGGTCACAATGTGACAGTTGTGACACTATCATGATTGTAGCGAAGTTAATAGTGAACCGTATAGTGAAGTTCGCTATATATTTGAAAAATTAACAAGCGAGTAATTGCAAATCTTTTGGTCGAAACATAACTCATTTATATTATGTATACTAATTTATAGCTTAATGGAATCTAATTATTATATATTTATTATTATTAGCGCACTATTCTATTATTAATTAAGGATCAGGAAAAGGCGATAAGAACGAGTAAAAAAACAAAAATGAAAATATTATATCAAATTAATCTTTATTTTCGAAGGATAGCAACAGAGTTGCTCTTTCAGATGCTTCAGCAATCAAAAAATTTGCAATTGACGCGAACCTATACCTTGTCTAGAAGCTATATTTTTTGAAGCCTTATACAAATTTCTCTGTTTGAAAATGTTAAAATGAGTCAGTCTAACGTTTTGCCTAGTGCAGCAACGATGTTGTAGAGAAATTACTTGAAATACTCGATATCGATCCAATGGCAGTCCGGTTTACGGAATGTCACGATCAATAAACGCCACGAGCGCAATTTCATTCCCGTCGAATATCTCCCCGGTCGGGACGACGCGGATTCCGTTCTCTTTCTCGTTGTTTACGCGTCCCGATTCGTGTCTGGTCGAGATATCCGAGACATCTGATCGATCGCGAGAACAGGATAAAAATGTTCGCGTATTTTATGTCGCACGACAGTGCGCGTCTCCGTTTTTAAGGGCGATGCGTTAGTTATATTGTCGCGAAGACTTAGGCGACTACGCCGCCACCGAGGTCACGAAAGTGGTCTCCTTGATCGCGAGGGAGTCGCTTCTCAATCGATCGCTCTTTAGGTGTATATATTTTCACGTATTATACATACGTAATTTTTGAAAGAAGGTAAATGCGTATGAGATTACCCAATGTAACGTGTAATCTTAACCCTAGAACGCACAAGTCATTTTTTTTACCTTTTAACTCATAACTGGGGTCAATATCGACTCAACGCTTTTTTGATCGTAAAACCGGTCCTACAGAGATAAAGGGCCTTAATAGTACATAAATTTCTTCGTTTTTTAATAAAAAAGAGAATAGTATACGATAAATTTAATTTTACTCAAGTTTAGTTAGTGAAAAATCCATTTGAAGACCGAAAAATGCAGAAAATCAGCAAAAACCTCTTTTTTAAAACAAAAATTTGTATCTTTTTTTGTAATCAACCAATTTTCAAAATTCAAACTTTGAAGAGGACACATTAGACAATTGGAAAAAAATTGTCATCGTTATGTTCTGTTCAAAAAGTATATTTATTTAAGATTATAAAAATGAAGAAATTCGCAAAGTTGAAATATGGAAAAAATCGATGAAAAAACCATAAAAAATTGTATTTTAAGTATTATTTTAATTTAATTTGATACAAAATAGTAAAAAATATGAAAAAAAATGAAAAATACTTATTTAGTCGCATCACGCACAATCGCAGCAGAAGATAACTCTGTGATCTTCGCAGACGGTTCGGTGGCACATTTCGCAATACATCTGAACCTTGCGATCCTGTGCCCTGGGACACAAGCCACATCTTGCGCGCTTCTGTTGGCCGCGTTTCACGGGCCTCTCTCCTTGCCCAAGGATCGTATGGATGTTGAAACGAAGCTCACGACGAAAATTGGGCAATTGTAGTCTTGCTCGCAGGTGCGGCTCCACTAGGGCTTTTATTAGATTTTTTAAGAACGTCTTCCTGTTAAAAGCCTCTAGATTAGCGTTGGAGTTGTAAAGGATAAGGGCGTTAATTCCTCCTTGATCAAGCATCGCCAGCCATATCCTCATGGGCCACCGTAGAGTCTTTCGAGCCGTAGAATATTCATGGCACATTTGATCGAATGAATCGGTACCTCCTTTTGTTGTATTATAAAAATGAATTATCTCCATCTTTTGAGTCTCCTGATTGATCGTTGCACAATCGTGGAAGGTCGAGAGCAATATGACGATTTTATTTTGTTTCGGAGTGTGGGCCATCAGAGTCATTCTCCCATCAAATGCGAATTTCGACGATGACACAGGTCCTGCGCTTCGGAAATGGCCGGGAATTTCGCGTTTGTTTTTTCGAAGTGTTCCGACCATCGTGATTGAATGCTCTGTCAGCATCTTCTCAAAAATTGGTATTGACGAGAACCAATTGTCACATGTTATATTCCTTTTCGTTCCGTGCAGCGGCTGTGACAACTTCCGGATGTAATAAGATGGGACACTCTCCCCTTTCTCTGTCGTGACTCTTCCCACGTATGGCTCAGCAGAGAACATGTAGAACGTCCTCGAGTCATTTAGCATAACGATCTTTATGCCATATTTATCAGGCTTGGCGCCATTATACACTTTGAATGGACATCGTCCGCGAAAAGAAACTAATTGTTCGTCAATTGTGCAGTACGAGGTTGGATTGTAATATTTTGTACAATTCGATATAAATTGTTCCCACAGCTCACGGATTGGAGCGAACTTATCGGTTTCTCTTCGCTCAGCCCTTGTGGTTTTATCGTCAAAGCGTAAATTTCTCGAAATTACCGAGAACCGATTACACGACATCGTTGATCGGTACATTATCGAGCCGTATTCGGGATTCCATAGATCTTCAAGATTGGTGTGCGATGTCTTCTGGAGACCCGAAAAGTACAATAAGCCGATGTACGCTTTGATTTCCACAATTCCAACTTCGGAGTACGTGCGATCTCGATCGTCATCGATTTCAAGCGAATCCCGATAACGACGAATTTCTTCATTTGTATGGCGGACAATCTTTTCAATGAGGGAATCAGGGAACAGCAAGCTCCACATTTGAAGAGGAGTGCTGGCTCGTCTTGCCTCACCGACCGGACCTGGCAAATAAGATACCGGAGTATTTTGCCGGCCCTGGGATCGTTGCTGCGGTGTCGTATACCATCGGTGGCCATCTTTTCCATGAATGATGCTTGGATTCGAACGTTTTCTAGAGTTACCTTCGTCCGGTTGCTCGGATATTTCGTCAGCGTCTTCCTCCGACTCCGATCCACTGAATTCCACCGCATGATCTTCTTCCTCGGAAGGAATATCGGATGCTTGTTCTCTCTCGGTCGCTCTGAGAGTTTCAGCGAGCGCTGATATAGGTCTCAAATTATATTGCCCAGCCATTTTCTGCAAAATGTCAATCTTATCTGTAGGCAACGGGATTTTTACCGACTAAGTCGTGAGATATTTTGTCTTAAATAATATTTATGACTATTTATGCTCAGATTACGTAATAATACATGAAATATATTGATTCTAGCAAAAAATATAAAATTAGCTTACCGTGACAAAACACAAACGGAAACTCACAACTGGGGTCAATATCGACCCCACGCACGCTTTGCGACGGTGCTGCGTCACTGCCAGCGAACAACTAACGCTGCGCCCGACGTAGCCCGTACTTTTAGAGAGTTAGTCGAACAGGAGCGTATATAGTTCAAAGTTTGCCTGGGGTCGAAATCGACCCCAGTCGTGCATTCTAGGGTTAATTTATTAATTTTCAATTGCAATTGACCAAACTATATATTTGTAAAACTGACAATGTTATAAATATAAGTGAGAGAGAAATGCAAGAAAGCGTCTTCTTAGCCAGCGTGTTCTTAGAGCTTAAACCTGCCACTCAACGGTAGCTCGATCCATGATTTTTTTTATTTCAGACACGACGTCTGTATAAATCGGTTGCGTATGAGGTACATACAATATCTGGAGGAGCAGCGCACGAGGGATGAGAGGAATCACAAGCTTCTCGCGGCGTTGGACAGAGTTATGAACAAGCTTGCACTGATAAGCGCGAAAAAAGACAGACTCAATGTTCTCAGAGTGAGTGTTCATTATTTGATCGGAGAATCTTTAATTATTTTGTAGAAAAATTGCTTTATTGCTATATACATATATATATATATATATATATATATATATATATATATATATATATATATATATACACGGACATATATATATACACACACGTACGTACATTATATATTTAAACTTAAAATTGAATCTGACAAACTTTCTATATAATAGTTACTCTAGTGCAATAAAATAAAGCGAAAAAAAACACCAATAATATTTAAAAATTGCATATAAAAGGAAATTCTAAATAATTTTACATTTTAATCTTGTTTACGCCCAGCAGCATTTCGTAGCCATGAACTTCTGACTGCATTTAAAGCTTCTGATAAATCGCTGTTCGGAAATTTTAGTAGCATCACTCCTAGATTAAAAGTACAATAAAGAGAAATAAATATTCTGCCAATCTCTGAGTTACCTAATATTGTATAATAAATTAAAAACTTTGGGAGACGGAATACTTGAAAGAAGATAGAATACCTTGAAATAATTCCCAAAGTTTCAAAGCATATGTATAATTTTTCATATACATATATACAAGATGGACAAAATACAGCGTTATTTACTCACGCTGTATTCTGTCCACCCTGCATGTATGTACATAATTTTTCTAATTTTATACGTGTCAAAAAATATGAATGAGTTTATTTGTAACCAAAAGCAGGTAAAATCCTCATGTCCGTTTATTTATGGTAGATAGGAATTAAGTAAGACCCGTTAAATTTTTTAATATTCCATATTTCAATTTAAACCTATATATGTATAATCGATCGAAGTTGTAAATGCTATCGACGTCTGATCGATGTCGATCCGATTTACCATTTCCCCCTGGGTCTATCGACGTACCTAGTTGTAGTGCTTGTCGATATGGTGTCATTAAATGCATAGGCCATCTTAGAAAGAATAAGTTCTGTCGGACAAGTTGCAATATTTGCATAAATGGGTAATTTAATCGGGGAAGAACATTCATTGACAGTCGATACTGGAATGTTGCACGTTGTACAAACACGATAATGTGGTCGGGTCTTGTTTTTGTAAATCTGTACGCCAACACTGCGCTGCATCATGGAAGTCTGTATTCCGACGTCTCTTCTTGTATCCGCAACTTCAAGAATGTTGAATTTTTTTTTCAGAAACAGTACGAAGCTTATCTACTTCGCGCTTACGCCAATCACCGGCCACCCGGTAGCGTCACCGGAGATAGCGGCATCGCTAGCCAGAATGAAGATAAATACCCGAAGAAGACTGTCACGATGGCACATCCTGATTTAACGAGAAGCGTTTCGTCACCGAGAGTGCATCCGGGGGCGCCTGATCCTCAGTCGAGTCAATCAAGATTTACCTTCGCGTCCAAGTTCCACGATCAGATTACTGTAGACGCCTCGTTAAATAATCCTCCTCCGATCTTGACGGCTGCGCCATCAGGTGCAACCCTCGATGTCGATCATCGTCAGACGAGTGCTCTACGCGAACCGCATGTTTATGCTCCCGTGCCGAACGCTCATCAATATCCGCGGATGATGCCATCCAATTACATCGGAAGTGCGCCTCGTAATCTTCAGCATGTCCCGGACATTCGCGTTTCATATGCGGAAGCGCCGGTCCCGTCAATGGCACCTTCGGATAACATGCAGCACCATGCTGTCCCTGCTAACCGATTCTTCAGGGAGCACGTGGAATCAGCACAAGCCGCGTCCGGTCTCTCGGCGACCGCGCGGTCTCCCGCTGGAGATACCGCGCGATATGAAGAGACGTCACGAAACCTGCCTGCTCCACGTCAATTCGACCCCTTAACATTACTTCAGTATCACAACGCCAATGTATTGCTGTCCGATCCGCGATTACAGGGAAGAGAGTACGATCCGTCCGATACCGCGGCCATGGGTCCGACTTTGGTGGCCGGGAATACGTATCGAACGGGATCTGACGTAAATGTCGCTAATCAAGTCGGCCCGCTGCCGGGATACATGGACTACATTCTGGCGAGTTCGCAGAGGTCCGACGACGAGGGATCCATTCGTTCCATCACCAGCGACGACCTGGACGGTCTGATAAGACGAAATGAACGTTTTCTGTGGGGCAAAGCGGATGTTGCCAAGACACCGCACCGATCGCCGATCGCTTCGGGAGTAGACAGCGCTAATCTAAACGAGGACGACATGACGGCGATAGTGGAGAACGAACTGGATCGATATATCAGCAACATTCGAAAACTCCATCGAGAGCATGGCGTGCAGAGCTTGGACGAGCTGGACCACGAGCAGAACACCAGCGGCGACTTGTTGAACGTCTCCCTGTCGGAGGACGCACTGGAGCTTCCGGCCGAGGACCGGGCGAGGAAGGAGCAGCGGGTGCCCGAGGAAATGGGCAAGATCCTAGCACTGGCTAGCGATCTCGCGTCCAGGACGGCGAATCTGAAGGAAGTTACGCGAGATTCAGCCGGGCAGAACGGCGGCGGTAGCTCACCCACGGAAGTCGAGGACGGAATTAGACGTCGCGAGATTGCGAGAGGCGACGCGTCGGAGTTTAAAGGGAAACGCGAGGCTGAAGGACGCGCGACATTGGCGAGAAACGAAATTAGAGATGACGTTGCGACACACTCAGCGAAATTAGAGCAGGAGATTGCGCGCGGAGACGCGGAGATTGCAAAAGAGAGCTGGAATAACGCGGACGAGTCGCGAGAGCGCGATCGAAAAATATCTACTTCGAAGGAAAACAAGGCGAACGAGGAAATAGCCACGAGTGACGAATTACGAATCGATGATCCGAGAAATGCGCTAAAGGAAAAAGGATTCGATCTTGTAACTGGTGAAGAGTCGAACATCGAAGGTCTGTTCGATGCCACCGAGGAACTGGCACCGTGGGATCTCGCGAGTGTGCAGAAAAAGGTTCGCGAGTTACGTTTAGACGATTCTGATGGAGACCGAGCGGTGGAAAAAAGTGTCGAAGAGGAGATCGCGAACTCGCGTGATTTTCCACGATTCGAGCAAAGCGGCGTGAATGGCGAAGCGGAGAATGCGCGTCCTTCGCAGGATACGCTTCCTCGCTCGAAAGTGGAAAGGAAAGGGTTGGACGCGACCGAGGTGAGCGAGATCGAGGGACAAAACGAAACACATGGACCTATCGAGGATGTTGAAAACGTGCCTTCCACAGTTTCGAGTCAACAGTCAGCCGGTGAAGCTAAGGTCGCGTCGCAGCCAGGTGAGGAACCTGGCGAACCTGGCAGAAGTGACGGAAGAAAACAGGATAACGTCGAGACGACGGAGCTTCGAGTCGACGAACAATTCGAAGGCGTGGTAAAAGACAGCGACTACAGTGTCGAGCAAGGCTATGTCGAAAATCCGAGCCAAACGCAGCAGTATGAGCAACAAGATCCAAATCAGCAATATTACGACCCAAATATGCAGTACGAAGCTGGTAACGAGGAGTACGAGAGGTATGCTGATCAAGGATACGCTCAAGAAGGCCAGGAATACGTCGAGTACGTGGAAGGTCAGTACGAAGGACAGTACCCTGAGGGTCTCAACAATCAACAGTACCAAGACTACCCTGACGCGCAGTACGAGCAGGATCCGAATCAGACGTACGATTACGGCTACGACCCCAATCAGGGATACGCCGAAGATCCCAGCCAGCAATATGACCCTAATCAAGAATACGAGAACAATCCTGACAATCAGGCGTACGATTACACCGAGCAACTTCCCTACGATCCCAATCAGACGTATGATAATGCGTACGAACAGGAGTACAAGGAGGAACAGCGCAATCCCGACGGTGATGTTGAGACTCGCGCGGAGAAGCCGGAGGCGGAAGAACCCTCGCAGAGACAGGCGGATCCGGAGTCGGAACACAAATCGGACGGTGACGCGGATAAATCGCAGCAGGCGGAAGCCGTGAACGAGGCGAATCAGTCGAAAAAGAAGAAGGACGTGATCAAGTCCCTGCTGGATTCAGACACGGACACAACGATTGAACGGAATGTTTCGAACACGGAGAGCGATTTTGATTTCAATTAAGATGCGTCTGGAGGACGTTGAATTTGTTGAAGAAAAATTGCGACAATGAGATCTCGTTAATGAGATCCTATACTTTAACGTGACATGAATGTGGGCGATCAAAACAGATGGATATGAACAATGATTTTGATTTTGATTGAAATACGTGCAATGAGAGAAGAAAACACAGAGTTGATTAGATATGAGTGAAGATAAAACGTCTGCAGTGAGACAAATGTGATTTGAGGAAGAATGCGATTAAATCTTGAATAAATTTCAAAAACGGATTCAGTTTGTTCACGAGAAATGCCTGGGATATGGACAGTGAATTTAATTCTAATTACAGTTTCAATTAGAGCCCACACGAGAGCTGTGTAACAAACGGAGAATAATTATATTTACGTCCGCGTTTTGCTTGCTACCGTAAATATCATATTTACATATGTAGACGTAGAATAAAATGGTGAAACAAGATGCGAGTGAAAATGTACGTTATTTCGTGCACCTATTTTCGAACTGCTTGCAACTTAATTGGAGTATAATTATACATCTGCAAATGTGCATTTACAGTCACAAAAAGATGAATTTGTTGTTATAATAAATAAATATACACTTGATAACGTTATAAAAATTGATTATCAAAGTTAATATTAAGAAAAACTTTGTGCAGACGAGATAAGACGTACTATAAATTTGTTCAAGATTAATTAACTTTTATAAATTTAAAGCAACGATGCCAACTCGAAGACTTCTTTAAAGAATCGCTTGAAAAAAAATCAGGTTTCTTCCGTTTCGTTTTCTCATCCAAAATACATGCGCAATACGTGCAAACCAATAAATGAACATGTTCGGCGAGTACATTCATATTTAATAATAGTAATCAATCCGCATATGTACGTCAATCCGTTAGACTCACAGCGCATCAATCACGCGAGTCGGCAGCTAGATTACTTTTTCCACCTAATGATATTTTTTTCATGCAAAATTCCAAGATTCTGGAGTTGACGGTTTTACGATAAACCGGTCCAAATCGCTCGTCAGCGGCCGCCCCAAGCTTTTTTATAATTAACGCGCTCATTTAAATATTTGATGCAATTTCCCACACACGACACGAGACCCTCGGTTCCTCGTGTCCCATATAATTAGTGCAGCACGGCGACGCGTGTGGCGGCCAGCATGGATATCGCGCGGTATGGATTTTCACGGGGAACGACGGGAACGAGTCTGCGCCACAGCCGGAACGTCGCGGTTCGCAGCTGTGTCGCGCCTCCTCGACCAATCACGCTCAGTGCCACGCGCGTCACACCACGGGCGCAGTGCCGTAGAAGCTGCTGACGGAGAGATCGTTCGTACGTTTCGCCGCGAGTGCTCCGAGAAAGGTAGGTACCTTTGTGCCTTCGCTACAGACTCTCTCTCTCTTTCCTCTCTATCTCGTTCTCCCTCTTTCCTTTGGAATTATCGTCGCACAGAGTGGTATTGTTTCGCGAGACGTGCGACGCGCTGTCAGGTTCATTCCTTCATCGTGGCGTAATCACGGGCGAATTGGGTGAAAGGAACTGAGACAGAGAAACAAAGAATGAGAGAAAGAGAGAGAGAGGGAGAAGTGCACATGCAAAAGAAATTTCCATGATAACGTTAATAAAATCGGTTTGCGGAATTTTATCGCAAAGCAGGATTATTCGTATTTAGATTGCGTTAAATTGAATCCTTCATTCGTGGCATTATATGTAAGTAAAGTATTTTTTAGAATATGTCGAAGGATTCGATTAAATCTAAATCTATATAACCTTATCAATATATCGGCCAACATGTACAGAAATATTCATCAGACATTATCAGTTTTATTATTATTATTTTTTACAAAAGGGGGTTGCAGTTTATATACATATATACGCGCAGAGTCAATCGTGCCTTGTTGACACGTGAATGTATATGTATAATATGTTGGAGCGTGTATATATCATGTATCTCCCATATGTTCTCCGATAAGCATCTAAATTCACATGTTGACGCATTAGCGACCCCCATGTGTCACCCCGATGCGTCGCAGGTCGTGACTCGCGCGGCGTGCGTCAGACCCGGACTCCGAGTACTCCGACGACGTACAAGGCGACAGGCGTGTTTACGCGCGCGGGCCGCGGCGCAGCTGGATCAAGCGATCAACGATCAAGTGGAGCGGTGGAGCTGGAGCGTGCGCCGGCGGCTCGCGGTGACGATCGTCAGGTGTTCGAGCGTACTCGAGTGGAATGAGAGAATCTCGCGCGAGTCGCGCGTAGTAAGTGTCGACCGGAGCAGCCGCGTGGAGCCGCGCGTCCGCCGCGTCCGCTCGAGCCGTCTCGCGTCCACTCGCGTCGCCGAACGTCGCTAAACGTTGCATGCTGAACGTCGTCGTGGTGAAGCGTCGCGTACGACCGCGCCGCCTCTCAACTGCGAACAACTTCACTCTGTCAATCGTGCGGATCGAAGCGATTCCCAGACGGACGGCGTGCACCCGCGCCGTGATTGGCCGAGCGCGCGTGCCGCGCCGGCTCGCGATTCGCTCGTCTTCACGTCGCCGTCCATTGTAGCCGTTCGCCCGGCAGCAGCGACGATTCATAGCGCGCGCGAGACGTTCCTCTTCGCAGACGCAGGGCCAACGAGACTAGCGTGTGGTGAGAGACGTAAGTGGTTGAAGCAGATGAATTGCGCCTTCGTGACACGACACGGAGATGCCCGGTGATAACGAGTTAATTTTGCATTTGCCGCATGAAAAACTCGAGCGCGGCGGATCATTAGCGTATCAATTGATCGGCTGGCACGACCCACATACATACACATGTGCTTCTTCTGTAAAGGTCTCTAATGATCGGAGAGTCTGTGAGCGAGGAAAGAATGGCATGCACGTACATTTATCGATACTGATGATCTATTTAAGTTTGCACTTTTTAACGCTTAATGCCGGTATATATTTTATAGTATGTATGGAGGGGGAAGCAGTATGTAAATATTTCTTTGCATAATTTTATTTTTTGATATTTTAAAAGGCTCTTCACACAGCAATACTCCAGAATACTGTCAGAGATGTCAATATGTACTAATCTTTTTAATTCAAAATTATTAAATTTTACACATATCGTGTAACAAATTAAAATAATTACAAATTTGGATGTTTAATAATGAAAAAGATGTATAGATAATTATATACAAAAAATGCACACATTCAAGCCAAGAAATAATTTAATTAGTTAAGCAAAGTTAAGATAATTTATCGCATTGAAAATTTATTAATTACGATCACGAGAATTTGTACTTAAATATATACTTTTTCACATTATGATTTAATATCTAGAATATTTAACTGACAGGCGTATTATGTAAATTGATCGAAAGATATCGCATGATATGCATGCAGAGAAAAAAAATACGTTAACTGTCATCGTTGTATACTAATGAACTAATTGCAACACTCCAACTTCCTACAGGCATTAATAGTTAAACCGTAAAATACGACGAAAGAAATATTGCACGTCTCTGTTTTCAAAACGATTCCACGCTAATTACATTAAAACGATGCGATTAATCCTTGTTTAAACGAGCGCGACTTTAAAAGCTCGTAATTAATAGTTGCAGTGAGCCGAACATTTAAACTTGATAGAATAACAAATTTGTTACATCAGAGATGCGCGATAAAGCTAATCGGAGTGCGGCATCAATGTGCAAACTAGTTTGTAATATATCTTGTTAATTTGATAGCTATGCATTTGAAGCGCATTTAAATCAATCGAGATTTGTCTTTTCCAATAATTTTCTATTACTAAATTACATATTATGATCTGTGCATTCATACATTTTATTAATTGGCCAATCAAATGGTAATAATTAAATTCTTTCTCATTCGGAATTGTTATCAGAATGAAGATTAATATCGCAGGGTAATTTTACTTTCTCACAATTAGCCTTTCTTATCGCAAGATAAGAATTCTTATGCGATAAGAAGAAGCCTTTTGATATGGTTTCCTGATAATTTAAGGAAGGGGGGAAAGATTAGAGCAAAAATGACAATTTTTAGTGTAAAACAAGACTAGTGTGTAGTGCTTTTATAGTACCTATAGTGCTCCAATAATCTTCTATTATTAATTACATATTATGATCTGTGCATTCGGACATTTTATTAATTGGATAATCAAATAATAATAATAATTAAATCCTTTCTCATTCAGAATTGTTATGAAGATTAGTAACGTAGTCTAATTTTATTTTCTCACAATTAGCTTTTCTTATCGTAAGATAAGAATTCTTATGTGGTAAGAAAAAGTCTTTTGATATGGTTTCCTGATAATTCAAGGAAAGGAAAAAGATTAAAGTACAATACTACAATGTCTATTGTAAAAGAATGTGCTCTTAATATTTTATTTATCATTATAATTAATGCTTTGTATAGCATCTATTGAATTATAAAATTGGTAACAATCTTGAATATCGGAGAAAAATATAGAAAACAATCTAAAAGAAACATATTTTTTAGCAAATGGTATTTTTTAGAATCATATTATAGATATACGTCACATATATATCCTCTTGGAGAGATTGTACTTTATACATCTTCTTGCACGAAGCGCACGGTTTTGTAAACAGCGCGCTTCGAGAGCTTATCGAGAAATCTCTGATAATGCAGCCACGTCAACGCCGCCGGATAATTAAATAAAGCGAGCACTCAAGGTGACAAACGCATTTGCAGAATTATGGAAGACGTGATGGCCATGAACGGCGTGAAGGAGGTGAACGGTGACGCGGACAGGCTCTATTACGAATTGGACGGCGAGGGCGATGCCGATAGCTCGACAACTCCGAGTCACAACGTGGATCATCGCGATCGTGAGTACCGTCGATTTGTCATTTTACGATGTGACTGGTTCTAATCAATTAGCCGTGCAAAGAGCGATTCGTTACAACATGCAATACGGTCATAATTGCGCAAGATAATAAGAGCGATTTAAAAATCACAAAGTTGTCAAAAAGTTTTTCTTTGACAGACGTTTGTCCGAGTTGAGCCAATGTTATTCTTTAGCTTCTTGATGTTGAGCTTAATTTAAAAAATACAGTGTTAGTCTTTGATGAGTGTTTATTCGTTGTATCAAAGCTAGGTATTCCTTGATCTCCCCAAATCGTAAAGATTTTGTACGGGATTATTTTTTGAAGACTATTTATTCGTTGAAAATAGAAGTTATATTTTTTAACTTCTTGAATGATGACGCTAAAATCACAAAAATGTAGTCACTCTCCAATTGTTTTAGAATTGTTTTTCCCTGCGAAGCTTCATTTAGACGCTACATTTCTTCGTGATTTCCCGCTTGAAATGGCCAATCACCCTGCTTGACTGCAATTACACCGCGAAACGTGCGCGATACGTATCGTGGCTCTAGACGGTGCATTATGGCAGTCACGACTCGCACATAGCAACAACCTTTTATTTGGCCGCACGGAAGGCGAAGTTAATTAAAGTTCGCGAGAGGGATGGAGATCGATATGAATTATACGCGACAGCCGCGAAAGGAAGACGAATGCCTCGGAGATTTTCCGTCGTCACTCGCCGATTCTCGCGGTGCTTTATATATATATATATATATAAGTGCTAGCCTGAAAAATAGTAAATAATTGAAAGAAATCAGGAAAAAATTTCAAATAATCAAAGAAAATTAACGAAAACACGAAATTTTTTACGAATTGATAGAAACGAGATGAATTGAAACTGTTGACTGTTGCTCCAATATTGTATTCATTATTTATCACAAAAATCTATTATTTATTTATGTACAAATAGGATTAAGAGAAGGTCCCTTTAGTATGATTATAATTACACATAGTATGATTAATTGATAATTACAACATCAGCAAAAGACGCGGAATAAGGTGCTGAAAAGAAGAATATGAGAATAACAACTTTACAAGTTATAGTAAAGAACAGATAAGATCTAACGAAGACAATAAAATAATGAACGTTTAAAAGAGCTTTTTTTAACAACTTCAAGTACGCCTTACATGATTTACCAAACTGGGATAATTCCAATTACAATGAATTCGAGTGACACGGAGGATTGTTCACGTAGTAAAGCGTTTTATGTTTTTTTAACACAAAATCGTGTTAATGGATGCGAGTGAAGATTTCGGAAAAATTGGCAGGCAGCCTAAGACCTTCTCGTCGCATACGGCCGATCGTATTTTGGCCGTCGTCACAATAGTGCCCGTCGGTGTTCTCGTCTCGTCTCGTCAGTGCGAGGCGAGACTTTCGGAACGTGAATAGAGGGCAAGAGTTAACTTCCCAGAAGTAAACCGCGATTCGGTCGTCACGGTAGTTTTCGCGGCGCTCCTCCGTTGAGTCGCGTTATGCAGTCGTAAATCCCGAGATAAAGTGGCGTTACGTGAAATTCTGAGAGTTTCTCGGAAAACATATCCCTGCAATAATCGCACGGCCAATTCGGAGGTCGACGTTGATGGTGAATCTTGATAGTGGAATACGTGAAGCTTAAGAGATTTCGCTTCGGAAAATAGCTCCGGCGGCGAATCGAGTTGAATCCTGGCGATAATTGGCCGGCGAAACTCCGCTCGCGAAAATCTTGCACACATTTCTTGATTCCGATCTAAATCGATTTTAATTGGGTGAGTCATAAATAATCTTCGACACAAATAACACATCAAGTTCTTTTTTTTAAGTTTCTCAATTCAAGATAAATGACTTTAATTAATCTTCTAAATGATTTTAAAAATTAGTTATTAGCAAGAATTAGTTATGAAAAGAGGAGAAAAGCCAAGTTACTCATCCAGAAAAAAACGAATTACAACTCAATTCAATGATTTCTCAGTGAATTATCTTAATCATAACAGTATAGCATCAAGATATTTTCCAAATTTTCTGTTAAATTAAATTTTTACTATTATATTTCGAAAATCGAAATATAATTTTAGTTAAACTATTTTCTAAACCAATATTTATATCGCTTGCTCGTCGACGTCAAAGGTATAGACTGGCTGATACAAATTGGCAGTCTCGTCGTGTTTTGCAATCGTGGTCGGTTGGATCTTCCGGTTGGGAAGATTACTTCTTGCTTCTGAATTCGCACATTCGAAATTGTTCCGGTGTTCCCCATTGTCATTGTGTGTCTGCCTTTGTGACCTTCGTGCGTTGGCACGTTCGATAAGCACGGTGATTAGCACGTTATTTAGTGCGACGTCTTCACATAGTACAAGCGCATGACGCGTTATTGAAAGTCGGCGTCGAGCTCGATCCTCATTTCTTGCAAACGATTGTAGTATTTTTTGTAGAGTCACAAAGACGCGCGGTATCGCGAAAGACATTTATTCGTGGCAGCCCTGAAAACCTCTGAAGAATCTTTTATCATCAGGAGGAACGAGTTAATAAACTTTCTGTCGAAGTAAAAGGAACCGTCGGCGTCGGTAGTGCAATTTACGCTGCATCGAGGATCGCGTGACTCAGGGCGACCTGGGAAAAATGTCGATCAGGGGTGTGACCACTTCGGAGAGCGAAGCGTTCCTTGGTTCCTTGCGCCTGCCGAATTTTCTGATCGATCCGGATGAATTTTTCGAAGGTAAAAACGAGCGCGAGGGCTCGTGTTACATGTCGGATTGTGCGATGTTTAACCGTTTGATGGCGGGATCGATGTAATTGACAAAACGCATTCATGTCGACGTCACTTTACCGTGAAACTGTCCCAGATAACGGCATTTCCGCATCGCGGAAGGATTATTCCGTGTGTGAATAACAATGATGACGAATCTGTGTCCGTTGTAATCTCATCAGCGTTTCTTATCTTGTCAATAACACAACTAACAGCCACTGTATCTTCGTCTTCTTAATTGCGAAATGTATTTATTGTTAGATTATCTTGCTTATAAGATGCAAGAAGTATTCTCGTAGAGAATCGCAAGTTTTTACGTCTTTTCGGAATTTTCCGACCGTGAGTCATGTCGCTTATCTTCCTAAAGCGTATATAAAGCGCATATAAAGCAGGCTCTTCATTAAAACTGCAAATTACTCAAGTATACAAGTTGTAAGTTCGCCAGTATGTTACTTTAATAGTTTAATAATTAGGAGGAAACATTGTTCTTAACATTGTTTGGGATTATTCCGCTCGAATTATCAAGACCTTTTTACACCGATGTTCAAATAACGTGTTAGAATGTAATTTTTATGAGTTTCAAGTAATTCCTGTATATTTACGGTCAAGGCCGAGACATAGTCGGCGATTATCTGTTATTACGCAATTACATAATGTCTGTTTCCAATAAAATATAGTTAAGTTTTTATTCTTGGAAGGATATTATTTCTTCTAAAAACTCTTTATTTTTCAAAATTCTATAAGAAGTATAAATTAACTAAAGTCAAGTTTTAATTATTTTCGTTTTTATGTACTTCGACATTTTATAATTTTTTTTACTAGAATTTTACTAGAACAAATCCATATTTCACAAGTTTCACTTGGACATAGGCCAGTATTCATAGGTTCTTATTTCAAGACCGTCTTAAGTAATGTCTTAAGATGCTAATACGGCTCTGTGATTGGTTCATAACATCTTAAGATCGTACTTAAGACGGTCTTAAATATAAGAATCGACTATGAATACCGGCCATAGTTTGACGGCGGAAAAAGAAACGTTCTAACTGCAAAACTGTTTCAGAAATATCATGTTTACTTTTGCGTTTTACACAAATGTCTCGATGTAAAGTTTCATAACATATTGCCTACAAGATACAATTCTGTAATGTCACGTAAAAATCTTTTAGAAAAATATTATCGGCGAAACTGCGTCGGGGAAAAATAATTACCAAGAATAGTCGAAGATACAGTTATTACGATATTATTCACTGGTGCCGTTAAACTAAAGAGATTATACATTCAACGTAAGATCGTGCAAATTACGAACTTATCTCGTTTCGAATCCTTTGATTCCGAAATCACCGCAGTAAACCCTGGCGACGTGGGCTGGGGTGTTAACGACGTGCCAATGCGTATCGAAAATACTGACGCCGGCTTATTTTCGTCCCGCGGCGCGGTATATTTGTCGCGAGAACCGGGTCCTACATGCCGCGACGACGACGGGAAGGTGTCGACGTTCTCAATTGGGAAAAGATTGGGACATGCCTCATGCGGAGATCCATCACGGTAACTGTGCCAAGGAGGTGCAGTAAGTATTGATCCTTTCCGCTACGTCTACGCTATGCCACTCGTCTTGGCGCGCTAAATCGCCGCGGCCGGCCGCCAGAAATTGAATCACGCAAATTCACGCGATTGCCGTAAATAGACGTAACCGTGGTGTTCGATCGCGTTCTTCGGCGCTTCAAGGAAATTTCCTACAAGCTGCTTAGAGCCGACTGCACCATATCGCTGGTATTAGCTGACGTGTTGAATATTTATGGGAGCTATCGTCATCGGAGAGAAAGAGAGAGAGAGAGAGAGAGAGAGAGAGAGAGAGAGAGAGAGAGAGAGAGAGA